AACCTCTTCTATAGAAGAGGTTAGAACTGGACAGAATCCACCCCTACATCCATAGTCCTGTCCATTAAGCCCTTTCCTCAAGCAGTGTATGCCTTGTTGGGTCAGACTGACTAACACAACCTCACACGGCACAGCTGCCGATCCGTTTGAAAAACAAATGATTCCCAGATGTGTTGTTTCAGGAAGAGAGTGAGAGAAGGAACGGCCCATCAATTCTCCCCCCCTCCAACCGTGTCCCTAATCTCTCTCTCTCTCTCTCTCTCTCTCTCTCTTTCTTTTTTCTTTTCTTTTTTGCTTTCCAAGATAATGACCCAATAGCTTGGATCTATCCTATCACAGATTGACTGTACATAATTAATCTAACCCAGGAGAGGGGGGGGGGAAACGAGGGGGCTCCGCCTAATCCAGATTGCAAGGGAAGGCGCAGAACATTTTTTGAGTCTTCTGACATGGAAAGTTATTCTTCCAAGATAGTAGTCTTGGATAACGGGCCCGGCCGCGGGCTTTGCAGCATTTTGAAAAGCTAACAGAGTCGTTTCCTTGCAGGCCAATGGCAAACAATTTCCCCTCCCCACTGCTCTCTTAAATATGCTTTCTTAAGCAATTGTGCTAAGAGCCTGGAGCCGAGCCCTTTTAAATGTCAGATGTTTTTGCAGAACAGATTTGAATCTTGCAGTTGCAAGTTTGTCCCTCATTCCTCCAAAAACGAATGGCCTGCAATAATTCTCTCAAGTTTTTGTTTGTTTATTTATTTACGAAAACTTACAATGGCTGCCCGATTCACGTTTAGTGACTCTGGGTGGCTTACAAAGATTAAAAACCCAACAATTAAAAAAAGGAATAACTCCCATCCCCCTGGTGACAACAATCAAATCATATCTTTGATTGATATCTTCATTTCTATTTTATCTTTTCCTATCTGCCTGAAGCAACTGTATACAGAGGCAATACCATTTTTTCCCACGGTGGGAAATTGAAGTCAGCTCTGATGTAATTACATTTAAGTTCTTAAAAATGGAAATTGGTTTTCCTACAAATCCCGAATGTCCCTCGATTGTGCCTTAAATAAGTAATTTATGTGTCTCTTTTGCTTTTGAATATAGTTGGCAAACTGTGTCTAAAATAGTAATAGAGATAGGCTTCTCCCTCTTGAAAAAAACAGTATGATGGAAGTATTGGCTCCCTCTGTATCTTTACTAACTTTTTAAATCTTTTTTTTTCAATATGTGTTTGAAGATGTCGATGAGTGTGTAGTGTTTCCTGGGGTGTGCACCAATGGCCATTGTGTTAACACGATGGGATCCTTCATCTGTCAGTGTCCCAGTGGAATGATCTTGGACGCAACTGGACGGAGATGTATTGGTAAGTGTCCAGGGCTCTAATGTTGTAAGAAGGACTAGGGGAGATAGGATAGCAGTGTTCCAATATCTCAGGGGCTGCCACAATGAAGAGGGAGTCAAGCTATTCTCCAAAGCACCTGAGGGCAGGACAAGAAGCAATGGGTGAAAAATAATCAAGGAGAGAAGCAACTTAGAACAGGAGAAATTTCCTGATAGTCAGAACAACTAATCAGAGGAACAACTTGCCTCCAGAAGTTGTGAATGCTCCAACACTGGAAGTTTTTAAGAAGCTGTTGGATAACCATTTGCATCTAGTGGTGTAAGGTTTCCTGCCTAAACAGGAGGTTGGACAAGAGGACCTCCAAGGTCCCTTCCAACTCTCTTATTCTATTCTTCTATTCTACTCTAGATGTGATGAAACCCACTGGGTGCAAAACTCATTCAAGGCTTCGTGTTTTGATTAGTCTCTTTCACGTGAAGTATTAGTACCGCTTTATAAAGCCTTAGTAAGACCACACCTGGCATACTACATCCAGTTTTGGTTACCGCATTACAAAAAAAAAGATATTGAGGCTTTGGAAAAAGTGCAAAGAAGAGCAGCTATGATGATTAAAGGCCTGGAGCCAAAACAATATGAAGAACAATTGCAGGAATGGGGTTTGGCTAGTCTAGAGAAGAGAAGGACAGGAGGGGGGACACGATAGCAGTATTCTAGTATTTGAGAGGCTGCCACAAAGAAGAGGGGGACCAACTTATTTTCCAAAGCCCCAGAGGGCAGGTCAAGAAACAATGGATGGAAATGAATCAAGGAGAGAAGCAATTTTGAGTTAAGGAGAAACTTCTTAACAGTGAGGACCATTAACCAGTGGACCAGCTTGCTGTTAGAAGTTGTGGATGCTTCGTCACTGGAGGTTTTTAAGAAAAGACTGGATAGTCACTTCTTTGGAATAGTATAGGGTCTCCTGCTTGAGCAGGGTGTTGGACTTGAAGATCTTGAAGGTCCTTTCCAGCTCTATTCTGATTGAACCATGGGAATCTCCCGTAAACCAAGAGTTGCTCCTAGTAATTTCTGCAGTCCAGCAGAAATGAGAGAATGCTATAAACAGATTCTTCCTCTCAGTTCTCTGCTTTCAGTGAGTCTTTGGAGAGAGGAAAATATTTACCATGAGGCACAGGGGTACTTAAGTCTTCCAGTTGTGGCTTGTTAATACTTGGGAAAGCTGGTTCTCATATATTTGTTCTCCTAATCTTTAAAGCCACTGACAGTTGGGTTGGGCAGCTAGACATGACCTAAGATGATGTTATCTTTATCTACAGCAAAATGATAAGGATTCCCAAATAAAATGGCTTACAGTTGTGGTCGCAAAGGAAACTCTTGTTATCATTCACCACGGACTTGGTGAGGCTCTAATTTAAACGAGCTTAGGATTCGAAAGACGGATATTTCTGCTTTGATTGTGGTTGTTTTCTTAGCTCTTCTTTGCCAGATGGGTAGAAGCAGTTGAAAAGAATATAACAGTAAGAGGGATTTGGGAGAGAAATAAGAGAAATGTAATGTGCGCAATCAGCTAAAGGCACCCCAAAAGACTCTTAAACACAAAAGCCATTCTCAGCGCACCCATTTTATTCAAAATGGACAGAATATTTAGGGGAAAAAAGGATTGCAGACGATTCCATTTCATGGAGGAGGCTAAGCATGACAGTGCTCAAACATTCATAGCCATAACATGGTTTGTTTCGTTTTGGATCTGCCTGTTTTGTTGACCTCACCATCGCGTGTCGAAAAATACAGTTTATGGTCTTAGAAGTTGCACGAAGCCAATTATTTATATTACGTCTGAACAAAACATAGTTTGAATGTGCAGTGCACAATTTTCAGTTTAGTTTTTCTGCTGAGACAGTAGAAGACATACAAGAATAGAATAAAATAGAATAGAATAGAACACAGCAGAACAGAACAGAACAGAATAGAATAGTATAGAATTCTTTATTGGCCAGGTGTGATTGGACGCACAAGGAATTTTATGTACACTCTCAGTGTACATAAAAGAAAAGATACCTTCGTCATGAATCATAAGGTGCAACCCCTTAATGATAGTCATAGGGTACAAATAAGCAATCCATTCATACTAGGAAACAATCAATATAAATCGTAAGGATACAAGCAATAGAGTTACAGTCCTGGAGTCATAAGTGGGAGGAGATGGGTAATAGGAACGATGAGAAGATTAATAGTAATGCAGCCTTAGTGAATAGTTTGACAGTATTGAGGGAATGATTTGTTTAGCAGAGTGATAGCATTGGGGCAAAACCTGTCCTTGTGTCTAATTGTTCTGGTGTGCAGTGCTCTATAGCATCCTTTTGAGGGTAGGAGTTGAAACAATTTATGTCCAGGATGTGAGGACTCTGTAGATAGTTTCACAGCTTTCTTTTTGATTCATGCAGTATACAGGTCCTCAATGGAAGGCAGGTTGGTAACCGTTGTTTTTTCTGCAGTTCTAATTATCCTCTGAAGTCTGTTTCTGTCTTGTTGGGTTGCAGAACCAAACAAGACAGTTATAGAGTTACAGACCTGGTATAGCTTTGGGACTAATAGCTCTTGGCAGTTTTCCATATTCATTCCTTGCCTCCCCCCTCACATTTATACTGTGTTTACCTTTACATTGATTTTTTTGTTGATTTTATATTTGTATACCTAACTTTTTAACTGCCCATCTCTCTCACGGAGGGGCTCTGGGCAGGTGTGCAATTTAATCAAGACAACAAAACTGTGTCATTTGAGATGATAACTTGAAAAAAAATGTAAAAACTACATTATAAAATTGCAAAAGGTGGAGGGTTTCAAGATTTCCCGGGTGGTGGGGGTGTGCCCTTGTTCCTTTGTCCTACCCGTTTTCATTGATGGATTGCTAAATGTCCCCCTCCCAACAGATATTCGCTTGGAGTCCTGCTACTTGAGACATGATGATGAGGATTGCACCTCGCCCATCGGAGGCCGACACCGCCTGGATGCTTGCTGCTGTTCTGTTGGGGCCTCCTGGGGACCCGACTGTGACGAATGTCCCATAAGGTCCACCCCTGAATACGAAGCTCTTTGCCCAAGAGGACCAGGATTTTCCACCAGAGGAGAAGTTGTCAATGGGAAGCCTTTCTATAAAGGTGAGACAAAATGGCTGCTCCCGCAAAGAAGGCTTCTGAGGAATATATTTGTTTCGTTTCTCCCTCCTTCCTTTTGTTCTGACCTAGGCTTCCCCCAAAAGCATGAGGCAAGAGTCCTGGTCTCAACAAAACCCCTTTTATTAAGCGAATGTGAATTCCTTTCATTCATATTCAGCAAGGCCTGGCAAATAGTCTTTCAAAGGAGTAATTAGGACTACAGACCTTATCTATCTTGGAAAGCTGCCATGTAAATATTTTCCAAATGCAATGATGTGCAAGGAAAGACTCTGGGCACAGAGTCTCTGAGATTCACGGACAGATCTTCA